TATCTGTCCCGGTAAGCGCTGTTAGCTAGTTCTATCATACTAACACTAATATTATAAATGCGAAAGTTTATATGGATGGATGTTTGTTAGAGTTTGTAGCATAAACTGCTGAACGGATTTCGATGAAATTTGGTATGGATATTGAGGATAGTCTGAAAGAACAGATAGGCTACTTAGTTATTTTTTTAATTCCACACGGACGGAGTCGCGGGCGAAAGCTAGTTACAAATAAAACACTATCTTTCGCTCGCGACTTCGTCCGCGTTAAATTAAAAAAATAATATAAAACATAGCCTTTCCTCAGTGATAACGTAGCTTTTTAATGTTGAAAGAATTTTTGAAATCGTCCCAGTAGTTTTGGAGTTATTTAATTAAAATCAAACAAAGTTTTCCGCTTTATAATATTAGTGTGGATAAGTCGTCGTCTTGGATAATCTTAAAAATCTATTTAAACAGTAAACAATTAATACGAGAACTCAAATTGTAAGTTCCAATTAGCATATACCTTTGTTTTTAAAACATGGGAGAATTTCGGTAGAAGTTTTGAATTTTTACTGGTAACACTAATAACTAGCAGCCCCCTGTCAATGGCAAAAACTATAAAATCCTTGAAGGTCATTTAGAGCCACATTTGACTAAACTATCGCACAACTGTTGTGATTGTCGATTGTTTCGCAGCCTTCAACTGTTTAGTTGCAAAACTAAAAATTGAGTAGTGCACTTCCACATAAGCTAATAGGAAGTAAAGGACTGAACAGTTGTGCGATAAATAAATCAAAGTACGCAACGCCCTTGTGACTTACGCCTACCGGGTCAAATAACTTTGTCTATAATGCTATAATAATCGACCAATTCTATGAGTCGAACCACTTATAGATGTATAATCTATAGATTGAGATCATACAAATTTGACAAGTCTCCATCATAGCCTAGCGAAGTAAGCATGGATAATCCAGAGTCACCTCATCTATAGATGATACATCTATAGATGGTGCATCTATAGATGGTACATCTATGTACAAGCACCTTTTGGTTGCTGGAGTAGAGATATGGGTACACTTGGTAATTCCATTGTGTGTCCTGCATCTTCCGTCTCCTTTCCTCGTTTGCTGCTCTCACTTGCTGGATGTAACTCAAACTGAGTTGTTTCCTCTGTTCGTTATGTCATTATTTAAAAAAACAATAAAAAATACAACTTTAACATGATAGTGTTACACAAAAAGCAAAATAAAAACGATTAAAAAGTCGAATTAACAATAAAATAGTTATAAATATATCCTATATTATACAGTGATTATTTAGTTTGTTAATGGTGGAAGAATTTTTGAAATAATCCCAGTAGTTTTTGAGTTTTTCCATTAAATACAAATACAAATATTTCCTCTTTGTAATAGTTTCCCTTTAGCTGTTGCTACGATTTCGTCCGCGTAAAAAATGTGTAGTGATAACGTAGCTTCTAATGGTAAAAGAATTTTTGAAATAATCCCAGTAGTTTTTGAGTTTTTCCATTAAATACAAATACAGATATTTCCTCTTTGTAATAGTTTCCCTTTAGCTGTTGCTACGATTTCGTCCGCGTAAAAAATGTGTAGTGATAAAGTAGCTTTTTAATGGTGAAAGAATTTTTGAAATGGGACCAATAGTTTACCAATTATTTCAATACATATTAAATTTAAAAAATACAAATCTTCCCTGTTTATTATATTAGTATAGACTACTTTAAGCGTCTAGTTAAATTATATAAATATTATAAATGCGAAAGTTTAGATGGATGGATGGATGTTAGCGTTTGTAGTGTAAACGGCTGAACGTATCTCCATGAAATCTGGCACAGGTTTAGAGCATAGTCTGGAAGAACACATAGGCTACTTTTTATCCCTGAAATAGTTACGGTTCCCGTGGGATTCATTAGTTTAGTTTGTTAATGTTCACTCGATCATTCTGCAACGGTTCAACATATCTTATTGAAATTTGGCACAGATATAAAATAAAGTCTGGAGTACACATGGGATAAGCTTCATCAACGAGAAATGTCCGGTTCCCGAGGGATAGTTCGTATGTTTTCTAATACCACGCGGACGAAGTCACGGGCAACAGCTAGTCTAGTAATAAATATAAATGTTAGTGATAATGTAGTCCAGTAGTTTTAGAGTTTACTTAAAATGTTAATACAACGACCCACATATGAACAGATTGAAATAAATGTAACAAATTTACTAAATAACACACATATAAGTTTTTTCAAGATGCAAAATTGTTATAAACCCGAAAGACACTTATTTTATGAAAACTATACCCCATGTATAAGGCAATCTTCAAATACAAAAGTTAAGATGGATGGATGTTTGTTAGAATGTATGCGGAACAATTCAATGCATTTTAATGTCTGGAAGAACAATATCTATGTGTTACAAATACTGACTAGTTTTTTTTTAAATCCCGCGCAAAATCGCGGGAATTATTAATTATTTAGTGTCACATAATTACAATAAAAATAATGATTTTTAACCCAACAGTTTACGATATAAATTGTTTTAATATTTTGTTAAAAAATATTAAAGCGTTACAGAAAAAGAACCCTCTGTAAAGATTATTAGGTGTAATTTACCTCGAATTATTCGCTATTTAAAGAGAAAATAAAAAAGAAAGTTTAAAAAGATCATAAAAAATCCGAATATACTTTTAGAAACAAAATTCGACCTTGAAAAATGTAACAAAACAATTTGAATTACATTAAAAGCAATTTCAACTTTACGCTTAAAAGAATAAAGTATAATTTATTTTATCTTATTAATAAGAATAATATTAAGGTAAGTGTACCTATTTTTTTTCCATTTAATGTAAAATCGACTTTTACTCCAAGTACTTTGAGTCTATTTTTCCTTATCAATTAGTACATCAAAATTTTTGGTTACGTTCCATTTTTAAAATCGTATTAAATTTTTTATAATTTTAGGGCCTGTCACACCACTGGCCTCTAGATCAGATAGGATTAAAATGACGTCACTGTTAGATAAGAGAACAAAATCCGATTTTTCGTCACGTATTTTTTAGTTAACAGACAATTTACGATTTGGTGGGACAGGCCCTTAGTAATATTGATTTGTTTTAATAGATTTTATCTTGTTTAAATTTCGACCTTACGTATACTCAATAGAGTTCAAATTACTCTATATCCATTATACCTTTGGTTGTTTAAAATTCGACTTTATTCCCATAGTAATAGGGTACATTACCTTATCTCCGTTACTATGATACTGGTATGTCTTCAGATATGTTCCTAGGCACAATATCTCGCAATGTGGACAACTTTTATCAGCTGTACTTCTAAGAAGGTTCAACATATGTATAAAATCTTCGGCCACGTAATGGTCTTCTTCCAAAAAGACCACCATACCTGAAGAAAATACCAATATAAGTCGACCTACAAAGTGCCAGTATAAGATGACCCACCATTTCATACATTACTTTCATTACTATAGTTCAATATATACTGGATACCCATATTAGGGCTAATCTTAGAACTGTCTTTCGATGCATTTTCACTTGAAATTTCAGTTCAAATTACACTGGTCACTAAAATTGCAACAAATCTAAGCTGAACTATCTTATGAAGCATTTTCTTTACAATCTTAGTTGAAGTTACACTGGTTAATGTATACCAGAATATACCGGTCTAAGATGAACCAGCTTTCCATACATTACTTTGAATACTATAGTTCAATATATACTGGATAGTCATATTAATGATTCATTTAAGAACTATCTTAGAGTACACTATCCATTATTACTTCAGTTTAAATGACATTCGCTAAAATAACAACAAATCTAAACTGAACTATCATGTGAAGCATTGTCTTTACAAGCGTGGTTCAAATAACACTGGTTATTGTATAAACGATACAATCTGTTTAAAAATCCTCATAACCAGTTTAAGATGAACCAACTATCCATACATTTATTTTATAGCCATAGACCAACTTAAACTGGACTATTCAATTATGTCCAATTTAAGTTGGACCATCATATAAACCATTTTCCTTACTAATACAGTTCAAGTTACATTAGTTACCTGTATGACCAGCTGTACATTGTAATTGGTTGAATATTCTATTCGCTTTCCACCACCAATGGTGTTTTGTTTGCGTGTATTTCGCTTCTCGGTAATGTCCGTGGAGATCCGGGTGTTGAGCATTGTTGCATTTCATTTTTATTGCCCTGGAATATACAGTGAATAAAATTATTCCAACGGTACTTTCTGGAAGGTACTATATATATACTATTATAATAAAGCCTAAACACACACTTCTTTGTTACCTAAGATGTCAGCAATTACACCATATTGTTTTATTATTCTTTTTTTAATAAAAAGCCCTACACTTACGTCACGCTTTAGGCTATATATTTTCACGTCATTGAACGTAGAGGGTAATTATTTTGGATAAAAACATTAATGTGGGAAAGAGACCATAAGTTGCTGCCAACATCAAGCAAGCCATGGTTTGACATCATGCCATCATTTTAGTATAGTTCACTAGTATAAGATAACTAGCTGTTCCCGTGCGGCTTCATCCGCATGAAATTATGAAAATTTTATTTTATTGTGTACATTTGTCAAATTAATAGCAAATGTCAAAATGACATGACATGACAAACCTTAGCAATTTACTTTCTTGATGTTGGCAGCAACTTATGGTCTCTTTCCCACATTAGGGTTTTTATCAAAATATTTACTCCTAAGTTTCACAGCATGAAAATATATAGCCTAAAGCGTGACATAAGTGTAGGGCTTTTTATTTAAAAAAAAATAATCAAAAAATGCTGTAATTGCTGACATGTTAGGCAACAAAGAAGTGTGTGTTTACGCTTTATTATAATAGTATAGATAATAGTCCGTCGAAATCGGCCCAGCCGTTTCAAACCGATACAAACCCCTCTTGCGGACAGACAGACAGACAAAAAAATTTCAAATGCGATTTTCGTTATAAGCAACGCAAATATATCATCTTCCTGTAATTTTTCTTATGATATTACAAACAGATAATCTGTTCAAGGAGTTTTTACACGTTTTTAGAGTCAAGCCATTAGAAAAGAAGAAGAAATTAAATTATTTTAAAATTAGAACTCATTGTCGACGTCATCACTTTTTTCTAGTCTTTTTTCTGTACATATTTTATCAAATACACATGTCTCCGTTAAAAATAGTTTTATTTCTAAATCTTTTACGATATACATTTTGGTCCTTCGAGCCGGATTATATTATTATATTAATTTTATTATACGTATATATAGATATATTACCGCTTAAAGTCACTAAGGAAATTGCACTTTGTTGCATTAACAAAGATGGTTTTCGTAAAAATAGTAACATGACTTATTCACAAAATCTTTTTCCACCAAACAATAGAATAGTGGAAATTACAACTTACTGTTCAAGTCGTACATCTCTCGGACAATCATTGGGATCAACTCCTGGGAACTCATTTGGATGAGTTTGTATTGAAAACGGATAGAAGATTTGCATTACCTGGAAATACAAAAAAAAAAAAAAACATTTAACCCAACCTTTCCAAAACGTCTTCATCCGCATGAAAAAGTCGTATCTCAATTGCAAATGTCAAAATTACCGTATACATAATATTCTTGCTTACTTAATGTTGGCAGCTTGTAGTTACAAATAGAAATACTGGCTTACACGCGCGATTCCGTCCGCGTCGAATTTTAAAAGTAAGTAGCCTATGTGTTCTTCCAGACTATCCTCTACATCTATACCAAATTTCATCGAAATACGTTCAGTAGTTTAGGATACAAACTCTAACAAACATCCATCTAAACTTTCGCATTTATATGAATACGAGCTGTTGCCCGCGACTTCGTACGCGTGGTATTAGAAAACATACAAACTATATAAATTACAAAAAGCTACGTATTCCGGGAACCGGACATTTCTCGGACATGAACCTTATCCCATGTTTACTCCACACTTTGTTTTATATCTGTGCCAAATTTCAATAAGATATGTTGAACCGTTGCAGAATGATCGAGCAAACATTAAAAAACTAAATTAATGAATCCCACGGAAACCGTAAATATTCCAGGGATAAAAAGTAGCGTATGTGTTCTTAGAGACTGTGCTCTAAACCTGTGCCAAATTTCATAGAGATCCGTTCAGCCGTTTAGGCTACAAACGCTAACAAACATCCATCCATCTAAACATTCGCATTTATAATATTAGTATGAATATAATAAACAACAAAATATTAACTTACTAATATTATAAATGAGAAAATTTGTATGTATGTTTGTTAGTTTGTATCCTAAACTGAACGAATCTTGATGATTGTACATAATGATACTCTAGATAACGCGGCTCCTTATTATGCCAGTTGGAGGCCACCGTGGGGTTTAAGTCGGCGCTTATCCGACATAACCACCCTTGTCCCTGCAAGGGTGGTATGCGTTAGGCATTTCCCCATGTTAAAAAAAATGGATAGTCTGGAATAGGCTACTCAATTTTTTTTTTAAATCCACACAGAGTCGCGGTCGAAAACTAATGTGTTTATTTCAAGCGGATGAAGCCGTACGGAACCAGTAATCTATACTATTATAATAAAGCGTAAACACACTTCTTTGTTGCCTAAGATGTCAGTAATTACAGCATATTTTTGAATAATTCTTTTTTCAATAAAAAGCCCTACACCTACGTCACGCTTTAGAGGATATATTCCCACGCTATTAAACTTAGGGGGTAAATATTTTGGATAAAAACCCTAATGTTGGAAAGAGATCATAAGTTGCTGCCAACATCAAGAAGCAAGATTGCCATAGTAACTGGTATTTTGACATTTGCAATTGAGAATTTGACAAATGTGAACAATAAAATGAAATTTTCATAATTTCATGCGGATGAAGTCGCATGGGAACAGCTAGTTAGTAAAACAATAGAACTTACCTTAGTAAAATCTATACTTCTTACTAAAGAATTGATTTCCTCGTCGTAATAATCATGAGAGAAGACCAATAAGGTTCTATCGATGTCCTTTGCTTGGGCTAATGATACTATCAGGTGACGTAAATACGTAAGCCTAGTGTGGACCTGCAAATAAATTAAAACATTTAATAATTGCTGTTGCTCTCGATTGTTCGCGTGAAAATAAAAAAAATATAGCCTATGTTACTTACAGATAAATTACCTTTCTAACGGTGAAAGAATTTATAAAATCGGACTAGTAGGTTTTGAGTTATTTCAATACAATTGATTTTTAAAAAATGTGGGTAGCCCGAGAAAGTAATCGAGATCCTAGCAGTTTAGGATTCAAACTATAATAAACATCCATCCAACTAAACTTGCACATCTTACTAATATTACAAACTAGCTGTTGCCCGCGACTTCGTCCGCGTGGTATTAGAAATCATACGAACTATATAAATATAATAAAAAAAAGTAGCGTATCCCTCGGGAACCGGATATTTCTCGGCCATGAACCTTATCCCATGTGTACTCCAGATTTTGTTTCACATCTGTGCCAAATTTCAATAAGATATGTTGAACCGTTGCAGAATGATCGAGTAAACATTAAAAAACTAAATTAATGAATCCTACGGGAACTGTAACTATTCCTGGGATAAATAGCCTATATGTTCTTCCAGATTATCCTCTGCATCCATACCTAAATTCATCCAGATCCGTTCAGCAGTTTAGGCTACAAAATCTAACAAACATCCATCCATCTAAACTTTCGCATTTATAATATTAAGTAAGATATGATTATATGATTGGAAAGTTTAGATGGATGGATGTTTGTTAGAGTTTGTAGCCTAAACCGCTGAGATCTCGATAGTCAGAGATGTAGAGCAAAGTCTGGAAGAACACATAGGCATAAGTTACGAATTCAGTTTAATAATTATTTTAATTCAGCATAGAGTCGCGGGTCAAAGCTAGTATAATACCATCTTATTTTTTATATTAAAATCCGCTTTTAAGGTGTACGAATTTTTTTCAATTAAATTTTTCGTTTGAAATTCACAAATATTACAATAAAAAATCATTAAATAATAAGAGTAATTTTAACAATCTTAATAATATTATAAAATACTAATAAGAAAACTAATATTATAAATGCGAAAGTTTAGGTGGATGGATGGATGGATGGATGTTTGTTAGCGTTTGTAGTCTAAACGGCTGAACGGATCTCCGTGAAATTTGGCACAGGTTTAGATCATAGTCTGGAAGAACACATAGGCTACTTTTTATCCCGGTAATAGTTACAGTTCCCGTGGAATTCATTAATTTAGTTTTTTTAATGTTTACTCGATCATTCTGCAACGGTTCAACATATAAACAAAGTCTGGAGTACACATGGGATAAGCTTCATCCCCGAGAAATGTCCAGTTCCGGAGGAATACGTAGCTTTTTGTTATTTATATAGTTCGTATGTTTTCTAATACTACGCGGACGAAGTTGCGGGCAACAGCTCGTATATAAATAAAGTATTACAATACTAAAAAAAATCACGAAATGATTTTGGCAGAATCCAACGCTATAAAATAAAAATTAATAAAGATAATTCCAATGTCAAACTGTCAATGTCATTTATAATTTTTATGTTTTCTATTGCATACTTTACACTTTATACATTTTTTTATATTTTACAACATTTTATAAATAAAAAATGGGAGAACTCAAACAAAAAGACGAGAAGGTAACTGAGTACAGTGCTACAATTTAAATTTAATTTTTTTACATGCTAAAGTGTGGATGGATGTTTGCCCCTATCTCCAAAAGGGATCTCCATGATATTTGTCACAGAAGAAAATAGGCTACAAAGAGCGGATAAAGTCTATCAAAGAAAACCAATCTTTACTAAACTTGACTAATATTGAAGATGCGAAAGTTTAGATGTATGGATGTTAGAGTTTGTCGTCTAAACTGCTGAACGGATCTCGATGAAATTTGTAATAGATGTAAAGTCAGGAAGAACACATAAGTTACTTAATTTTTTTGAATTCCAAGCGAACGGAGTCGCGGGCAAAAGCTACAAGTATAACAATAAGTGTAAAATTAAAAAAATAGCTGCGTCTTCCGACTCCGTTCTTAATCTGCAAATTCCCTGATTGTACATAATTCACTACCATTGTTAAAGCCTGTATTTACTATTCACAAAAGCACCCGGTACAGTCCTGGCAATCCACGGTGTTCCGCTTCAAGAAATACCTTGTTCATTACAACAAAAACTCCGCCTTACAAATAACTAATTATGTATCAGTGAGTGCAAACAAAGGGATAACAAAAACGCAGACATTTAAACTGCGTAATGTTTTGGTTCGCATCGTTGTAAAATGTTCAAACAATTATATTTTTAATTTGGACCACTGCCAGTTTCCCCGTCTGTACATAGGTTGCATTGCTTACACACATGTCTCCTAAAATTTTGAGCAACAATAAATGATTTTTTTATTTCCAGACACCAAAATCGAAGCGTAAAATAAAAATACCACGTCGAGAACCTTCGATAGTTATACCAGAAAGAGTTCCAGTTTATATTACCCCTGACAAAACTACGTGTGTAGAATGCGGCTGTTTTCCTAAAGATCCTTATATTAAAAACAAGTAAGTGGTGCAGAACATCCACCAAAAGTAAGATATTCTGAGGTCTACTAACATTTTAACCCTCTTTCTGTCCCAAAGAGATTTAAAAAATATTTAAAAGAAGCATAGTTGAACAAAGATGTTACCGGTGAAAAACTGTTATAACTAGTCCATATATTTCTTAAATGTTTTGGTTTGTCCCTTTCAAACAATATACGTGTATCTTTAAAATGCAATCGATTATGACGTTATATGTGAACACTAGCTTTTGCCCGCGAAACCGTCCTTAAAATAAAATAATGTTTAATCCTTGTCAACACTACAATTATAAAAAAAATATTAAACACAAGATAATGAGAAACGTAACTAATGAAATGAAAAAAAAAAGAAATATTTAAAATTAGCGTTGCATTGCTGACCGGATTGGGCCCTCGCTCAGCTATAAATGCTGGATGCTCCTATTGAAGTACCAGCGCTGATCTTCCGCGAGAACCCTTGGGATCATCCACACGTCAGCAGTAGCAGTGGATAGGTAGAAATTATCACATACACATGAGTAAAAAATAATCTTTGTGGAATTAAAATAAATAACTAGTCTATGTAGATTATGTCCAACTATGACAATCGAGATCCGTTCAGCAGTTTAGGATACATACTGTAACAAGCATACATCTATACTATTATAATAAAGCGTAAACACACACTTCTCTGTTGCCTAAGATGTCAGCAATTACACCATATTTTTGAATAATTCTGATTTTAATAAAAACCCCTACACTTACGTTATGCTTTAGGCTACATATTTTCACGTCATTAAACCTAGGGTGTAAATATTTTGGATAAAAACCCTAATGTGGGAAAGAGACCATAAGTTGCTACCAACATCAAGAAAGAAATATTGCTAAGGTTTGTCGTGTCATGTCATTTTGACATTTGTTGTTGATAATTTGACAAAAGTAAACATTAAAATAAATTTTTCGTAATTTCATGCGGATGAATCCGCACAGGAACAGCTAGTATACATTTAAAAATATAAGATGTTGCTCGCGACTTCGTTTAAACAAAAATAAGGAATATAGCTTAAGTTATTCACTGATAACGTAGCTTTTTAATGGTGTAGGAAGTTTTAAAATCGGTGTAGTTTTTGAGTTATTTGAATACATACAAAAATACAAATCTCTCTTTATAATGTTAGTATAGATTGATACTGATAATTTTAAATTTGGTGATAATTTCTAATGTAATGTAAATGAACATTTTTTGCAACATAGAATCTGGGTGAAGTCGCATAGAAAAAGTTAACTAATTATTTTTTTTTATAATAATATAAGGTGGCAAACGAGCAAGCGGCCTGAATCCACTGAAATGGAAGCGACCGCTGCACATAAACATCCGCAATTGCAGATGCGTTGCCTACCCTTCATTGACGGAGGAGACGCACATAAAGAGGACATTTCCCCTTCCTATGCGTCTCATCCACCGTGGATTTGACGGTGTTGGGTGGAAAGGTACTAAAATTAGGCCTCCGGCACCACTCATCAGACGAAACGCGGAATTGCTTTCACTTCACGCCTGTTTTCTGTGTGGTCGTGGTATTGCACCGGGCGAGCCGGCCTATTCTTGCGAAAATGTTAAAGCGGGCTCTACCACTGTTAACTACTGGGCTTATTTCAAAAATTCTTTCACCATTAGAAATCTACGTTACGGCTGAGTAACAATTTTTAAATTTCACGTGTACCAAGTCGCGAATAAGATCTAGTTTCTTAATTATTTTCAGAAAGCTACTACCATGTTTAAAATCTCCTTTATCGTTGTACGAGTTATCAGCTAAAGTTGTCGATGGTCTACCATTGCCTGATGCGTTTACATGGAGTGTTGAGGATGTTGCTGACTGGATCAAAGATATAGGATTACCGCAATATAGAGTAAGTTAAAATATAATCTACAAAAGATAGGACATGGCTGTCAAAATTTAATTCCCAACTGTAATTTACAAGACCCTCGTAAGATATTCCTTGTTAAGAATGTGGATGGCTACAAAGGTAGAGGAAGACCGAAGAAAGATTGTGTGAAAGAGGATATGCTTAAGAAAGGAGTGAATTCAGATAAAGATGTATGGAAGAGCAGCACATACTGTGCCGACCCTCCGTAAGGGATAAGGGCAAGTGGATGTTGAATTTACAAGACCTTCGTAAGACCTATATGGATCTGGATGAAAGGATACATGTGTCAGAAATGCTAAGATAGATGTGTGGTAACATGAATGGATAAGATACGAAATGAGTATATTAGAAGTAGACGTTAGTTATGAGTGTGGTACACCGGTAGAGGTAGAAAGAGATGGATTGTATGAAAGGTGACATGATCGAGAAGGGAGTGACTGAGATGACGGTTGATAGAGTTATTTAGAGGACAAAAACCCGGTGTATCGACGCTACGAGGGTATGATAAAGCAGGGAAAAGATGGTGAAAGATTCATATTTGTATGTAACGAATAAACTCAAAAA